TTTAAGTATTAAAAACCATTTGTCTCCATTCCTCCTATCAAATCGTCATGCATGCTGTGGAAAATCCAAGCCCCTCACATAAAGAGCCTCCTTTTTCCCCCCCTCCAACCTTTCCTAGGCCACCCCCCCCCCCCTTCCCCCCTCAGATTTTACGCTTCAAAGTCTTCTGTTTCTTCATTCTTTACATGTCCCAACCCCCTTAACAACCCTTCTCAGCCCCCTGGACAACAGTTTTGGGAATCCGCACTTTTCCAATTAAAATCGAATTGTCGCATTATATTCAACCCAACATTTCTTCAGCTAAAATCTCCCTTTTCCTCCAGCCTTCTCTCGCTGCAACATTCATCACCCATGCTTCACACCCATATAAGAGCGTTGGTAAAACTATACTCTCATACATTCCCCTCTTTGCTTCCAAGGACAAAGTTCTTTGTCTCCACAGACTCCTAAGTGCACCGCTCACCCTTTTTCTCTCATCAATTCTATGATTCATCTCATATATATTTTTTTATTAACACATCGGCCGTTTCTCACCAAGGCAGGATGGCCTGAGAAACAAAAACTTTTATCATCATTCAGTAGTGTAGTGTAGGCATGACAGAGGCATGCCTACAGTACACTACTATACACACACACACAACACACACATAATATATATATATATATATTATATATATATATATATATATATATATATATATATATTATATTATATATATATTATATTTATTCAGTGCTAGTCACGGCATTATGCCGGGGAAGCGCCCCGGCATAATGTCATGACGAAAAATCAATCGTCTACCATACAGGGGTTCCTTTTTCGTTAGTGCATTATGCCTGGTAGCATCCGTTAGCATGACGTCACGACCTGCCTCCACACTCCACAGTCACTCCTCAGTGCTCACGTGGCTGCCGTGGTGAGAGGAAGTGTTGCACTTTTGTCTCTCATCCGCCCAATCTTTTGTCCTGTGTTTGATTATGGGCAATAGGAAGTCTTTAACACCTGAAACTATAGCTCAAATCATGGAGCTTCACAAAGCTGGGCAACAGATGAATGAAATAGTGGAGAATGTTGGTGCATGTGAGCATTCAGTGAGGAACTGGGTGCAGCGTTTTGAGGCTGGCGGCGGTGTCGAGTTACCATCTGCCAACCCTCGGCCTGACCCCTCGAAGAAGACATCTGTTTGCACTTTAACTGTGTTAAAGAAGCAGTTAGAGAGTGCACCTAAGATAACTGCTAGAGAACTGAAGGAAAAGAACCCACATCAACTCTCAGAGGTGTCTGTATGAACTGTTAACAGATGTGTGTCAGAAGTGGGCTACAGTAGTCACCACCAGGTTAAGAAACCGATCCTCTGCAAGCCACAGAAGAAACATAGGTTTCATTATACAAAGAAATATCTTCACTGGAATCCTCTACAGTGGTCTGAAGTAGTTTGGAGTGATCAAGCAACCTTCACTGTCACCTGTAACCATGGATATATGTACCGGCCCAGAGGTAGTGAACTACTAGACCCACCCTATGCCTGTGGGACCACCAAACACCCAGTCTCGCTCATGGTTTTGGGGTGTTTCAGTGTTCAGAGTGTTGGTTAACTCATTGTGCTCCCCAAAATCCAGTTTATGAACCAGTATAATTATCTGCAGTTATTGTGTGATAATTTACCTGAGGCGTTTAACAAGTGTAGGGGTATGGTTTTTATGCAGGACGGTGCACCATGTCTGCAGCCAAATCTGTAGTTCAGTGGCTTAAGGACTGTGAAATGAGGTTCTTTAATGACTGGCCAGGCAATTCCCAGACCTAAATCTTATTGAGAAACTCTGGGCAATAGCAAAACAAAGTTTACTGGGCAAGGATATCAGTTCCATACCGTGGCTGGAGGCTGCTCTTCATGAGGTATGGAATAATATACCTCTCCAAACACTCAAGAATTTGTGTGAGAGTCTTCCTACACGGCTGAGGGACGCGATTAAGCGTAAAGGACGCAGCACCAAGTAGTAAAACCTCAGTGAGTGTGCAAATATATATTATAATCATTCATGGTATGTGTTTGTGTTTTGGTACATGTGTGGGGGAGGGGCTGCATAATGCCGTGACTAGCAGTGTGTGTATATATACGTATATATATATATATATATATATATATATATATATATATATATATATATATATATATATATATATATATATATATATATATATTATATATATATATATAATATATAATTTATATATATATATATATATATATATATATATAATATATATATATAATATATATATTATACATATATATATATATATATATATATATTATATATTTTATATATATATATATATATATATATATATATATATATATATATAAAGAGAGAGAGAGAGAGAGAGAGAGAGAGAGAGAGAGAGAGAGAGAGATAGATAGATATGCAGAAATGGTCCCAGTTGTCAGTGTAGGGTACCGCTGACAACTGGCAATTAACACCAATTTTTCTGGACAACAATTCATTACCAACACTTCTTTCTTCGGAAAATGGCATATATAACAAGGATCTTTCGCTTTTTCCTAATTATGTTCATCACTGTCTTTTACCAGGTAAGGTCTTCATTTAATAACGTTGGTAGAATTACCGACAATATGTTAGGTAAATGGTGTGCAACTAATTAGCTATTTTATTACGGCAATATTTTACCACAATAAAATGTCGTAATAGTTGCACATGTGTCCTTTTGCCTGACATAAGGTCCTCTGTCTTGCCAACATCCCCTTCAGCGCTGTGGCGGATGAAAGGGTTGATCCCATTCCCTGTCATAATTTATATTTCCTAGTTTGTTAATGATATTCTTCCCCGGCCCTGGAAAACATCATCCTATCCTTGATACATAAAAAAATCTTGTCCACAAATTTAATCTGCTTATCATCCTCTAATACAATTTTCTTATTTTCCTTTGTAGCCTTCGTTGTGTCATTCTCTATTACAGTTCTTCAGGTTACACTGCCTTTTCATGAACTTTTTTCAGCTTAACACCTTTCTTGCCTAACTCATCTAACTTGAATTCATTATTTCGTTTTCTTTCTCGGTTAGATATCCTCAGTATCCTATTTTTATCACCTTTATTTATGACCGTCTTCCACTTGTATACTTTACTCATATCTTCCCACGTTCTACGTCTTTCAAGAGGGCGCAAGTTCACAGCTCTCGCTATATCTTTGTTTGAAAGATTCATCATATAATGGGTTAATTTTGCTATTCTTCTGCGTATGTACACCAAAGTATTTTCAATATTTTTCGTGGACATAACTTCTGTGCCACATAATCCAAATGAGGCTTTACTACTGAAGTGTAGAATGAAGGTGATGTATGATACTTAAAGGAAGGATCGTATTATTATAGTCCCTGGCCTTCTTAATTGGTGTTGATCTACCTTGTTTAAGCCTTTTTGAGGATGTTAAACTACTGGTGCTAGATTTCATGAGCGTGTTGAGCTTAAACTCACGATTTTCTTCAAGGATGCATTATTATTATTATTATTATTATTATTATTATTAGTTATTAGTGTAGTAGTAGTAGTAGTAGTAGTAGTAGTAGTAGTAGTAGTAGCAGTAGTAGCAGTAGTACTAGTAGTAGTACTAGTACTAGTAGTAGTAGTAGTAATAGTAGCAGTAGCAGTAGCAGCAGTAGTAGTAGTAGCAGCAGTAGTAGTAGTAACAGTAATAGTAGCAGTAGTAGTAGTAGCAATAGAAATAGTAGCACTAGTAATAGTAGCAGTAGCAACAGTATCAGTAGTAGTAGTAGTAGTAGTAGTAGTATAGTAGTAGTAGTAGTAGTAGTAGTAGCAGCAGCAGCAGCAGCAGTAGTAGTAGCAGTAGTGTAGTAGTAGTAGTAGTAGTAGTAGTAGTAGTACCAAAGTTATGGATGGCGCACTAAAGCATTAGAGATTATACGGCTCCTGGAGGAATGGGAGGCAATCAGGTTTGATCTAGGGGAAGAGAAGATAGGTCAAGTTTCCTAGATCATGAGTCCCTGACTGGCATGAAGGACCTGCCTTGAGGGGTCTTCAAGGTCTTGATCTCCAGCTCCTGCACCTCTTAGAAGGGCCTTTTCAAGGAGTTCAGCTGTCGCTCCTTTGCTTCATGAGGGTTTACAGGTTTAACTATGTCTCTTGCGTGGGTTGTGGATCCCGCAGCGACCGTACTATCAGTAACTGCAAGTCAACAATCACGTCCTCGTCACTACCTACTCTCTCACCATCAACTACGATTTCATTAATAACATGTCCTCCTCCTCCCACGCTCGCACATACCTCCCACTCTTCCACTCACATTCCTTACCCTCGTGGTCTCACCCCTCTGGACCCGCTCTCACAATCATACCGTGGTACTGCGTAGCTCACTGGTCCCACAAAGTCCTGTATTCAATTCCGCTGCTCAGAGAACACTGGAGCAAGTTTTCTTACACCCCTGTCTACCTAGCGGTAAAAATAGGCACATACTGTTGCGGGCCGCATCCAAGAAAATGTTTGATAACTGAAGTCCTGCTGGAATGCCATATATTACGTGTAAGATATTACAGTACCTTCTGGAAGTACTCAAGTGCTGGATAAAAGATATCAGTGTGGACCGTGTATCTAATGATGGTGTCAGAAAAAATGCAATCACTGCAACACTGGTTGCCGTTGTGTTGAAAGAAACTCCCGTTAATAAGATTAGTGGGTTGCATAAGATGCCTCTTTCATACCTTCAACGCGACTACTGCTGACTCAGGAACACTCGTAAATTCTCGGTCACTTTTTTCAGTCACTTCCATGTTCTTGACTTTTTTTTACCTTGTTTTATTTTTTCATCCTATTTATAATTAATTAATCGATTTTCTGCCTTATTATTATTACTACAATTATTATTAGTATTAATATTACAATCATGGGGGAGCGCTAAATCAGCAAGGAACAGAGTGCCTGTGGGTACGAGAGGCATTCAGATTCGATCCAAGGAAGGGGAGGGCAGATAAAATTCACTGGATCAAAAGCCCCTCTCCGTCATCCAGGCACCTTCCTTGAAGGACACACAACCACAGATCATCGCTTCTTTTGACGACGACGAATGTGTGTGCCTATGCCAATAAAAGCATTTAACCTATAAATCCAATACTTTATTTTGATATGTTTAGCTTAATGAAAGCTATTGGAAACTGCTGAGGTGTGCTACGCTTCAAGTAGGTTAAAGTTCATCTGCTGGCGATATTAGACCATATCTTGAGCACTAAAGACGTAACATCTTGATTCTGCCTATGACTATGACTAAAATATCTTGAAGTAAAGAAGAGATGATTGTGTCCCCACCATCTCCTGACAGACAGAAGGGGAATTATCCTCAGGTAAGGCAGCATGTGGACTAACGCATGGAGTGGTACACCCGGGCCAGGTCCCCAGTGTACTGACGTCACACCCGCCTTGCCATTGGAGGATGAGGCTTCCTATATTAACCGTGCGCACCTCAAGTTCTACTCATAATCCACAGTCTCCTTGTTGGAGCAGCATTTTATGGTGATAATACTGAGACACTGGACTGAAGATTAAATTATATTCTACGTAATTGGAGGATTGAAATTGACAATCTTCACGAGACGCGGAATCAAAGAAATACACAGTTTAGTAGTCATTGAGTTATAATGGAAGGAAGCAACAAAAGTGTTAGAAATACTTGGTCACGAGTGATGGGCGTGATGAAGAGCGTGACTGTGGAACCTCTTATGCTTCTTGACGGTCTTGCCTTCTCTAACATACACGTATACATAGAGAACCTACAGATGGATCGAGTGTGCCGAGTGAGCAGCGGTTTTTCCCAACAAGTGTGCGACAATCTGAATTCAGAACCAGCAGCCAGTGTAGAGGTACAACAAAAGTACAGTGTGTTTGCTCTCTATAACGGTATCATTGCAGCTGCACTACCACTCTTCTTTATTCTCTTCATGGGCGCCTGGAGTGATAAATATGGCAGGAAGGTGCCTCTGATAGCAGTACAAGTGGGTCACGCACTCCACGCTGCCGGCTACTTGTTAGCTACTTTGGCACCTTCTTTGCCTGCTGAAGTGTTACTTATCGTCACGTTACTGGATACACTAGGTGGCGGTACTGTATCATTCTTGACGGCAGCCAACTCGTACATTGGTGACGTGTCGTCAGAAGAGTCGCGTACATCAAGAGTGGGACTGGCCAACAGCATTTGGTTCTTAGGAGGTCCAGTGGGCACACTGATGGGTACTTACATCTACAGCTGGGGCGGCTACCTGCCACTCTTCGCTACTTCCCTCACGCTCTCCTTAATGGCCCTGGTGTACGTGGTGGTGTGCCTTCCTGAAAGCCATGGACCTTTCGTCAAAAGTTCTGTTGCGGAAGCCCCAGAACACAAGCCACGAGTGGCGCTGCGAGAGAGTGTAGCGGCAGTGTACGGACTAGAGGTAAATGCTACACCCGACAATACCCTCCAACACTCCCGCCTTACTCTCACCATCATGATCAAGGACTTCTTTAACCCGCACCGTATCCTTGACAGCTTCAAGTCAACGCTGAGGAAACGCGAAGGAAACACAAGAGCTCTTATTCTTATTCTCATCTTCACCAGCCTCCTCAGAAGAGTTACTCGATGTAAGTGCTAACATTTATGTAAGAATTTTTAACAGGAAGAAAGGAACAGTCCTAATGCGAACACTAAAAACAAATATATTAATTATTTATTGGAAATGTTATTTTTAATATAGCAATCACCATATTAGTTAATTTATGCACTTGAAATTTTGTAACCATTGATCCTGTCCTTCAGCTCCCTATGTGTTCGCCTTCACTCGTCACGTACTAGGTTGGCAAGCTACTGACTACAGCCTCTGGGTTACCTACAAGAACCTCTTGGCCACCACTGGTAAGATACATGTTTACACGTACACGATTTACAGGTAGTGATGAAGCCTGTGCATTATTAGATCAGATTTTCAGTCTAATGTTTATGTGCCTTGATAGAAACAATATTACCTTGGTTAAACTGCTATTAAATAAAGTGAATGTTTAGTTTTAGTCGGTTAAGTAGGTTATAAACTCTTAATAGAAAAAAAATCATGCAAATGAATATGTAGAAAATAGAAGAGTGCCGATAGGAACTAGCAAATCGATTGTATTTCACAAAGAAATGTGTCCACAAAAACATGTATTGAAAAAGAATAACACAATCAATAGAATACAAAATGTTACTGATAGACCAAAACTAGGCTCTCAGAACTCGTATTTCATCTTCCATGGAGCTGTTAATCAAATTAAATTAATTGTAAGGTCAAAAACACTAGAATACTATATCTCAGCGGTTCTTATCTGCTGAGATATAGTGTTAAGAATCTCTGAGCAAAATTAAGGAATGGCTTTTATATATATAGGTGTGTATCTGTGATTTGGTCATTAAAAGACTTTTCTGAACAATTAAAAATAATAATGTTAAGAATGAGAACGAATTTCTTCAGTAAGATAAATTTACATTCGCAGAAAGATTATAATCTACGCAGTTGTTCAAAAACATTAATGTACTGATATATTAAATGCCTACAATATCCAAAGATACATCGTCAGTCAATAGGTTTTTTTTTTTTTTTTTTTTTTTGCATCACCGCTTTCAGGGCGAGAATGTAACTCACTAATAAAGTAGCTACTTAATCGCCAATTATAGTGAAGATTGTGCATGCGAGTGAACATACTGCTATGAAGATGGGACATTTCAGCCCAGATATTAGACACGCAACTGCAATGTACGGCGTTGCATTAAATATGTCTTAATTATCAAATACCAACCTAAAATAACATAACATTATCCCTGTATTAAGCCGAGTTTTATTCACTTTCAGGATCGCTAGTGGCGGTGCCATTGTTAAGTGGTCGTCTAGGTGTGTCAGACAACCTGCTGGCCGTGGTGGGCGCCATGTCCGGCGTCATCGAGTATGTCATCTACGGCTGCATTTCTGACTCTCGACCATATTTTATCTGGATAGGTGAGCTTCCTACCAGGGATTGTCAAGTGTAATGCTTTTATAAATAAGTGACATTTGTAAAAATGAAATACTGGTGGTGGAAAATAAGGTGACCACAATCGTATTTGATCCCTCAGCTCCAGTTGCGGCTCTGCTGCTTAACTCCTGCACCATCGCTCAGCGAGCCATGATGACCAAGTTTGTCTCCAAAGATGAAATAGGTGAGTTGGTTTTTGATAATTTATTTTATACAATATAAACTTTTTACTCCATTTTTATATTATCTATTCATTATATAATTGATATAATTAGTGTTTTGCAAAGCGATATTAATTTTTTTATATTATTAGTACTAGATGTCAACATTTGAAACGTAAAATTATATATCCCCCATTTTTCAATTTGTAGGTAAAGTATCTGCGGTGTTAGGTGCTCTTGACGGCATGATGCCCATGGTAACTTCTGCCCTCTACACCGCCGTCTATCACGCCTCCGTCAGCACCTTCCCTGTAGCACACTTCTTACTGGGTGCTTCTGCCAGCGCTCTCATGATCGTCTTTTTCTGGTACGTTTCCGTTTTCGCTTTCATAGTTCAGATACAAATTGTGATTAAGTGTGAAGTATCTTTACTGGTGAATTATTTTCATGAATTAATCATGTATAATATTTTCCAACAGTATCATCATGTTCGCGGATAAGTCAGGTCAATATGACGTGGAGAACGCTAAGCCTAGCATCGTCGCTGGTCCTGTCGCAAACAAGGCGCTGGTGATGAGAACCAACTCCTGCTGGCTGGCCACTGACGTGCTGGCACTGGCCCTGTCTACACCCACTTCCCCGGACGTCCCCGAGCATCATAACACCCAGCAAGGGATAGGGCTACAGAATCACCTGTCACACAAACACCAGTCCGTTTTAAAAACCATTTCAGAAAACAAAGCCGACACCCGTTCTGACGGACTGATGAATACTATCAAGGACTCACTAAAAGCTGTTGTTAGGCCACTAGGAGATTCAGCAGCTTCCTCGGCCGCAACACACAAACAAATCACAAGAGTAAATACAGGAAACTTCTTCGTCAACATTAACAATATCGCTAACCATGTTCTTTTCCCGAAAATTAGTCAGGAGTCAGAAAAGATAGTGAATAATTATCCAGACAGTGATGAGACAGGCGAGAGAAAATCTAACGTATGAATAACTGCATTTTTTTTTCAGAGTTCATTGACTTACAGGCTTAGAGCTGTTATCCTTCTTAAGCTACTTTTGAAAGCCTGTTTCTATGATGCGACCCATGACAGTCGACTATCACCCAGGTACCTGTTTTCTTTAATGTAAAGGAGACGTCTCGTCCTTGCCCGGAATTGAACCCAGAACCTCATGGTTGTGAGCTGAACGTTCAACTAGGCTATGAAAAAGCAAGAGAATTACGGTGGAAAAAGATGCTTATCTACTACTTGGAGCATTTATTAGGGATACGTTTCGCCACGCGTGCCTTCTGAAGAAGCCCTTTTTTGTCGAATTTTTTTTTTACAGTCATATAAACTGTACATAAGTATCGTTTCACAGTTGATCGGTATTACTATACCATATATTTCCAAGGAAATTGTTGTACTGGCGTACAGTAGATAATTACCTCATTATGAAGCGGCAACTTTTCATCATGAAATTAACATTAGTGTTGAATACACTGACCATGACACTTGGGCAAAATATTGCACCAGTAAGCTTCTTCGACTACTAAGCTACCATTCATGAAGTGTTTATACTATTCATGTTGTACTTGCTATTTATATAAAGACATATTTCCGTGAGCTCTAACTCGTCTCGTGAGTTGTGTAGAGAATCAGGAACTCTTGAGGAAAGTATACAGAAGACTTATCACAATACTAGTCTCTTGATCTGTGATATTTATTTCTTTAGTTACTACTTAGATTACTATTTATATAATTTTAATCAATTATTATTTATTTATATGCTATATATCTCCATGACCTAAAAATATATAAATGTTAAACAGTGTTTTGTCTTATGCACCTATGATTAACAACCAAAAATGGGAAGCAAATGATCAGTTGATAGGTTATAAAAGACAGCAGTTAAAAATTACATCAAGTTGAACTTTATTGTCAAAGACTGCACTAGGGAACTGAATGAACCATACGGGCTTAGTGTTTTTTATGAAAGTTATAATAAATCGCGAATATTAAGTCCGAAAGGAGAAACAAGAAATAGACATGAACTTGTATATGTGTCGGGATTGTTAATATAGTTTGGTTCTGTTTATAATATTTGTACTCACAAATAACCAAATAATCACAGGAAAATATTGTCATCTAGATTGAGCACAAGACAACGTCACGAGTTACAACCTCTTTAGGTCGTTGTACGAGAATCTGTTACTACAGTTTACTTTTCATCTGAGGAATGCAAGTTAAGCATATATTGAACAATCACATGACCATATTTGAATGGCATCCTGATGCTTAAGTTTTTATACCATTCTAAATAGGTTTAAAATATTTAATGTTATGTAAGAGGAGCCGACATATTTTCTATAAAAAATTACGATGACCATGACACATCTGTCAAGCGACAAATAATAGTTAATACAATTTCTAGTTACCTGGTAATCCAAAGGTTAACGTCATTTGACTTGCAAAGCCTATTAAAAAGAAGAAAAGATTTTCAGTTCATGACGCTAGATTCTAAAACTTACTCTGATACTCTGAGCATACACAAGGTCTTTAGTTTTTTGCAAGGTATTTTGTTTTATCTCAAAATTAAAAAAAAAAATCACCAGGTATTACAAAATGTCATGATGTGTACTTAAAATTTAGGAATTCATTCTTTATAATTGTTAGGAAAATATAAGTCAGTTTGTATCTTTCTAAATTTAAACTCATCTGTCTCCATTATAGAAAAAAAAGGCAAAACAGGTCCATACCTCAACGACTAAAATACCTGCCGAAGTAGAAACAGATCGTGATTGTAAGTTGGGCCCGCATTATGAGTCCACTATTGGGTCCCTCTCACAGATGACACTGTCTTGCACTGTTGTACCTCTTCTCTGGCTCCAGTATGTAATTTCCAGTATTTTATCCGTGTACTAGATGAATAAAGTATGGTGTGCAACTGTAGCTTCCGTCCAATAAAGATATCCAGATATTTCGCATGTGTTTTATTCATCGACTTATCAACATTATATACCCATGATGTATTGATACATAGCTGACACAGCAACACAATGAAATATTGGTAAAGGGATAACTTCAACTCTACTGCAAGCATCTGGCCTACCTTACGTGCATGATCCACTTCCACTACTGGGTCCCGCCCACATGTGACCATATCGAAAGTGCTGCTCCTCTCCTCTGGCTTTAGCTTATAGTCCACCCTTATGCCTCTGAACTAGATTAATAAAGCTTACTCTGCAGAAGAAACATCTCGCATATATGAAGTCAGGTGTTGCACGTGTGTCCTACTCATCGGACCAGAAGTTGCTTAATCTCTGATGATAACAAGTACCGGTACGTCAGTAGTTCGACTAAAACATCGGACGGGTCATCTGCCAGAGACCATGTGTCAGGAAACGTTTTGCTGCTTCCTGACGAAGAAAACAATTCCCGCTGTGTTCTACGCAAAACATCTTCAATGAGAAAAATAAAAAAGATAATACCGTAACCGGAACAATTCACCAAAAACTCCCACTTAGGACAGGAACGTTAGGGCGACGTTTCGGTCCATCCTGGATCATTATTAGCTGTGAATTGACAGTGGTCCAGGACCGACCCAAAAGTCATCCTAACGTCCTTTCCCTATTTCGCCTGTTTCGGGTTTCTGGAGAATCTTCAATGGGACTAGAAAGCTACTTTAATTTTATCGTCATGGTAAATAACCTGACATAGTCCTGGATCATATAACCCAATCGGTAGCTCATGGAGGATTCGGAAAATCTCTGGTACCGTCAAAGTTGTGACCTCGACAGCACACTAGTTGATGGTACAAGTCTGACCATAACATCATCATAAGTTTCTTTCTTCTATGTGCGGGTTATTAGTGTAAAGTAGCATGTGTAGTAGAGCCCTCAGTTCTCTCTACTAATAGCGTTGATTAATGTGAATATATGGTTTACAAAAATATTGGTTAATAAACTTGTCTGGGGCAATAAAGCGGAGTCTCATGGGCTAAGATAATTATGGTTCTTCGGGCATTCACCCCCACGTACACTAGATGCAATTTTGATGGTTTCTAGTAAAAAATGGAGTCGTTCAAAACGTAAACAGTAGATCGCTAATAACCATAGATACTGAGGCCCCTTAACCATAAAAAGGATGGAATACTGATCTCCTCCCATTATGTAAGCTCAGTGTTTCAATATAAAGATATGAGCAAAAGGAACAAAGTTCTCAGGCACAATTTTCTTAAGAAACATTTTACGTATTTAAAAGTACAAATAAATTGTCAAGACCATTAATCTATTAATATACTGACTTCCGAATGTTTAAGAAATATATTGGCAGGTTGGCATTATTGAGTTCAAATAAATTTAGTGTTTAACGAGATGGAAGATCTCATCTCTGAGAAATAAGTTGTTATTGCACAAAATTAGTTTAGCGATTTTATAACATGGCACATTGAAAATGATGGTTCATATCCTTCTCCATAACAAAGAAATGGAGAGATGTGCCAGAGGGCTTTGTTTTTTGTTATCCCAGGAGGTGAGTAACAAAGTATCTTGTGGGCGTTGCAGCGCATTAGAAATGCGGGTCACCTGGTAGAAGTTGCCGGGTCCATACACTAATGTCTCTTCAGTGGGAGCTCATAGATTCCAATCTATAGCATTACTTATACAATAACAATACCGGACTCTTGCGTTATCTGCGGAATTTCTTATTTTCTTAAGACTGATTCCAAACACGACAAGCTCTTCTATGTTCTAGGTCAGAGCTTGAAGCAAACGGGAGAGCAAATCCCGGAATATTTATTAAGAGTTAGTCAGCAGTCCTAGTCCTCAGAGTTCTTGATTTGTTTATTTTGGACTGTAAAGCAGTACACTTCTGGGATTTTCCAGTAGTTAAGTTATAAAAATCATGGATATTGTTTTAATTCACTTTTTTTTCAACTTTACACATGACAGTTCTGTGGAATCGTTGAACTGACGTTTTGAGTGAAGAAATAACAGACGTGACAGTTGTATGTTAATACAGAATTTTTATAGGTGGTCAACAAGTATGCATTGTTGTATTTTAAAAAAATGAAAGGTTATTAAACCTTGAGAGTGATCACACCTCAGGTGACATCACTGTTACGCAGACAAGGGCTGGGGAAGCTGCAGGTAACTACCGGGTCGTTCCCCTTTGCCCAGGCTTACCAGCGGATGTTGAGGGGTATATTAGCTGGCGTATACCGAGATTGCCTCATAGTCCACTGCTTTTTCGAATGCAGGAAATATTTACTACTGACATTCAAGGGTGTATGCTTAAAAAGTTATTTAAAGAAAGAATAGTGTCATTGCCACTTCAATACAATTTACCTCTGATAACACTGCTACACACTACAATAATAAAAAATAGAGAAAGATCATTTCAAAAATTGTAGATGGAGGGTTTTCGTAAAGTCGTAGGTAGTCAATGGCAACAGGTGATGCTTGTGTTGAAGAGCGTGACTGTGGAACCTATTATGCTGCTTGATGGTCTTGCTTTCTCTAACATGCACGTATACATAGAGAACCTACAGATGGATCGAGTGTGTCGAGTGAGCAGCGGTTTTTCTCAACAAGTGTGCGACAATCTGAAGTCAGAACCAGCAGCCAGTGTAGAGGTACAGCAAAGGTACAGTGTGTTTGCTCTCTATAACAGTATCATCGCAGCAGCACTACCACTCTTCTTTATTCTCTTCATGGGCGCCTGGAGTGATAAGTATGGCAGGAAGGTGCCTCTGATAGCAGTACAACTGGGTCACGCACTCCACGCTGCCGGCTACTTGTTGGCCACTTTGGCACCTTCTTGGCCTGCCGAAGTGTTACTTGTCGTCACGTTACTGGACACACTTGGTGGCGGTACTGTATCATTCTTGACGGCGGCCAACTCGTACATTGGTGACGTGTCGTCAGAAGAGTCGCGTACATCAAGAGTTGGACTGGCAAACAGCATTTGGTTCCTAGGAGGTCCGGTGGGCACACTGATGGGTACTTATATCTACAGTTGGGGCGGCTACCTGCCGCTCTTCGCTACTTCCCTCACGCTCTCCTTAATGGCCTTGGTGTATGTGGTGGTGTGCCTTCCTGAGAGCCATGGACCTTTCGTCAGGAAATCCAACCCTGATGATCCAGAACACAGTTCACGAATGGAGCTGCGAGAGAATGTAGCGGCAGTGTACGGATCGGAGTTGAATGCTACACCCTCCAACACCCTCCAACACACTCGTCCAACTCTCTCTACCATGGTCAAGGACTTCTTTAACCCTCACCGTATTCTTGAAAGCTTCAAGTCAACTCTGAGGAAACGCGAGGGAAACACAAGATCTCTCATTCTCATTCTCATCTTCACCAGCCTCCTCAGAAGAGTTACTCGATGTAAGTGTTCAACAAGTATTGGTATTAGTATTATATTTATATTTAGGGACTCTCTAAGCTCCTAAAGTAATGGAAAACAAACAGGGAGGACGAGTCAAATTCTTTAGATTCAAGAGCCCCTCGTCAGCATCAAGGAACCTCCCATGAAGGGATTACTGGGATTAAATAAAAAAGATATTTGCTTTTACGCCATTTTTATCAGATTAAAAAAGTTTTACAACAGACGAAATGTAATCGTGGGGCCTCATACCGGCGCTTAACAAACTCGTGATTTTCTATGGAACCATGGGTGTTCAAAAAAAAAAAATAAACTGCTGGAAGCTGTAACTTACTCACCAAACTTTTGGGGACAGAAACTATATAAAATTCCAACAGCTGGCATGATTACAATACAAGGATACGACTCACGAAATCGTAATGACACGACTGCAAACAAACCATACCACGGGCGGGGTCCAGCTAGCTGGTCCAGTGGCTAACGCGACGGTCTGGAGTTTTGAGACTCTCTGATCGCGGGTTCTATCCCCACCCGTGATATGGTTTTTTTAATACAAGGATACGTTTGATGCAGGTAATCACCTATATTTATATGCTGCAACTGTAACCTTTTTGTTTTACAGAGCCATTTTAATTTTTTAACAACTTAAAAAAAAATAAGAAAGTATTAGTGATGGTTCAGAGGTCAACTTGGAAAATAATGAACGATTATTTTTCTTTAATGAGACCATGTTTCCTCATCGTTTTAAGAAGTGGTGTCATTATTTGACGTCTATTATCATAGTAACTTTATGTTAATCTTGTTTTATTTGCAAGATTAAAATATCTCAATTGGTTTATTTGATTAGCATTTTTGCTGAAATTAAAAAGTTAGAAAAGTTGTATAAATATGAATTAAAATGACTAACATATACGGTCAATAAAATGTTAAAATGACAGAGGTGAGACAAAGTAAAGAGTGAACAAAATAAAAGTTACATGAAAAGAATATCAAAGTACAAAAGCTGACGTGAGGTTTATCTAGAAAGAGAAAACCAAAATGTGACTAACTTAACAATGACAAGAATAGTGGTAGAGAGGAACTTTATTGAGATGTTTCACCTGTTAACAGGCTTCTTAATGCTGTTTCTTGTTTCCATTGACTGAAGAACCTTGTACACGGGCGAAACATCTCAGTAAAGTTTTCTGCCATTGTGTCCTTCACCACTAGTTGGCTAAGCCCCATTTGTCTCCATTGACAACAATAACTTATGAAATAAGGATGGCAGAAATAAGGCCAAGTTAACAGTGAAAAAAAATCATTCAGGTACAAAAGTTCATGTCGATAAAGAATAAAAAGGTACAGTTTAGTAACTGGAACAATACACAAATAACCCGCACATGGGAGAATAGAAAGTCATCGTAAGATTCATTCCCTTGTTTACGAGTTCTTTGTGTATACTTCACGTCAAGCATAAATAGAAACGAATACCTGAAAAATTACTTTTTTTAGATGATATAATAATAATAATAATAGTAATAATAATAATAATAATAATAATAATAATAATAATAATAATAATAATAATAATAATAATAATGATAATAATAATATCTTTATTTCTACAAGTACATGTACAAGGTATACAGTCCTAGCTGACATCAATGACATACTACTATATAGAAAGCTGCTTGTTATGCAGAGCATTTCGGGCAAATTAGGTCGGTTTTGTCCCAGGATGCGACCCACACCAGTCGACTAACACCCAGGTACCAATTATTACTGATGGGTGAACATGGACAACCGGTGTAAAGAAACACTCCCAATGTTTCTACCCTCGCTGGGAATCGAACCTAGACACTCGCCGTGTGAAGCGAGAGCTTTAGCCAAAACAAATTATAAAAACATTCCAGGACAACCAGCTTATATCAAACATACCATTAAACATGAAATTAAACCTAGATATCGACACCACCTCTTTCAGGTTTGTATAAGTCTGGCAGGAGCGTACCAGTGAGAAACTCGCTGTCTGACTATTAGCTGTAACAAGAAGCAGAGGTCACTTACAAAATGCTTAAATGTATGGGAGTGTTCCCTAACGTGGTAAATATTCGTTCATTCAGTAAGCGCAAACTTCGTTCTGTTCTTTAATCATTCATGTTCAAAAACTCTCATAATTAAATAGCGTTTCGTCTTAGTAATACATGAGACCTTATATCTCTTACACTTACGTAACAGAAGTCTCAAGCTTTAATGGAATAGTATTTTATTTTTACTCTAACGAATTTATTAATGGCATTATATGATTTGAATGTGATTCTAATATTTATTTGGAGGTAGATGTACAAAAACAGTTTACTGAATCTTTTTACGTAAATGAAAATATTTATTTATCACTAAATCAGTTAACGGAAAACAATGAGCCTTTTTCATGAGTGCAGTTTCATGTCTTACCTAGAGTGCCAATTAAAGAATATGAAATTTTACAAATATACTGGTATAGTTTACCAATATAATAGTTTAGTATGTGGAGACAATATGATCGCTTCCATAATTATACTATAAATACTAAATAAATGAAATTATGTTTCATAATCGAAACAATTCCAACTCTCTGGTTGGTTAATAATAAATCAACCCATACTGCAAGAGTCTTCCCTAGAACAATGACAACGAAAGGGTTTTTTTTTCTTATAAGAAGCATCTGACGCCATCCACTCTCACGGGCGATAAGTATGCTGTGGAGAAGGAGCATAGACATAGGTGAGATTCCAGAGTCACTGAAAATAATGGATATAGCCCCGCTCCATAAAGGGGACAGCAAAGCAATAGCTAAGAATTATACACCAATAGTTTTAACGTCCCACATCATAAAAATCTTTGAAAGAGTTCTAAGAAGCAGGATTGCAAACCACTTGGAGTCCCAAAAATTGCACAATGCAGGGCAACATGGTTTCAGAGCAGGTCGCTCCTACCTCTCGCAACTATTGGACCACTATGACATGGTCTCAGATGCACTTGAAAACAAACAGAATGTAGATGTAGTATACACAGATTTTGCTAAAGTCTTTGACAAGTGCGATCATGGTGTAATAGAACACAAAATGCATGCCTAAAGGATAACTGACAAAATAGGCAGATGGATCTTCAACTTTCTAACCAATCGAACACAAAGAGTAGTGGTAAACAGAGTTAAATCGGAAGCTGCCATAGTGAAGAACGCTGTTCCACAAGGCACAGTACTCGCCCCTATCCTGTTCTTCATTCTCATATCAGGCATAGACAGAGGTGTAAACCATAGCACCGTATCATCCTTCGCAGACGATACTAGGATCTGCATGAGAGTGTCATCCATTGAGGACACTGCAAATCTCCAAGAAGATATAAACCAAGTTTTCCAATGGGCAATATGATGTTCAGTGAAGACAAATTCCAACTCCTTTGTCATGGAAAACTGGAGGAAATAATAGCTAGGACTGAGTATACTACAAACTCAAATCACACAACAGAGCGGGAAAGCTATGTGAAGGACCTGGGAGCGGTAACATCTGAAGACCTCACCTTCAAGGACCACAACAATGCCAGTATCACATCTGCGAGGAAACTGAAAGGATGGATAAGGAGAACATTCAAGAAAAGAGATGCTAAGCCTGTGGTGATCCTTTTTAAACCACTTGTTCTCTCTAGGCTGGAATACTGCTGTTCATTAACATCCCCATTCAAGGCAGATGAAATTACAGATCTACAGAATGTACAGAGAACCTTTATTGCACGTATAAGTTCCATCAAACACCTTAACTTCTGGGAACGCCTGGAAGCACTTGACTTGTACTCACTGGAGCGCAGGCGAGAGAGATATATCATAATCTACACCTGAAAGATTCTGGAGGGACTGGTTCGTAACCTGTACACAGAAATCACTCCCTACGAAAGCAAAAGACTTGGCAGGCGATGTAACATACCCCCAGTGAAAAGTAGGGGCGTCACTGGTACACTAAGAGAAAACACAATAAGTGTCCGGGGCCCAAGACTGTTCAACAGCCTCCCACCAGCCATAAGCGGAATTACCAATAGACCCCTGGTTGTCTTCAAGAGGGAGCTGGACAGATACCTAAAGTCAGTGCCAGATCAGCCGGGCTGTGGTTCGTACGTTGGACTCCGTGCGGCCGGCAGTAACAGCCTCGTTGATCAGGCCCTGATCCACCAGGAGGCCTGGTCATGGACTGGGCCGCGGGGACGTTGATCCCCGGAATAACCTCCGGCTAAACTCCAGGTATCCATTACTCTCGATGTTCTGTGATAATGGTAATTACATACATACAATATTGCTGCACTCTAACAGCACCTTTCAAGGCAGGTGAAATTGCCGACCTAGAAAATGTACAGAGAACTTTCACGGCGCGCATAACGGAGATAAAACACCTCAATTACTGGGAGCGCTTGAGGTTTCTAAACCTGTATTCCCTGGAACGCAGGAGTGAGAGATACATGATTATATACACCTGGAAAATCCTAGAGGGACTAGTACCGAACTTGCACACGAAAATCACTCACTACGAAAGCAAAAGACTTGGCAGACGATGCACCATCCCCCCAATGAAAAGCAGGGGTGTCACTAGCACGTTAAGAGACCATACAATAAGTGTCAGGGGCCCGAGACTGTTCAATTGCCTCCCAGCACACATAAGGGGGATTACCAACAGACCCCTGGCAGTCTTCAAGCTGGCACTGGACAAGCACCTAAAGTCAGTTCCTGATCAGCCGGGCTGTGGCTCGTACGTTGGTTTGCGTGCAGCCAGCAGCAACAGCCTGGTTGATCAGGCGCTGATCCACCAGGAGGCCTGGTCACAGACCGGGCCGCGGGGGCATTGACCCCCGAAACTCTCTCCAGGTAAACTCCAGGTAAACATGAGAGAATGATGTGAGTTATATGAGAAATGGATATAGATTTGAATACTATTTACATTATAACCTATTAGTAACTGGTAGGTAAAAAGTGGCTGAAATCTACCTGGAGGTCGTT